TCTGAATAAGATTGTCAAGTCGAGTCGAGTGATATCGTGTAGGACCGGGTCAGGTCCGAGTCTGATCGGATCGGATGAGATCTGATCTGATCAGATCGCATCGGATCGGGTCTAATTGGATAGGGCTGGAGAGGAGAGGAGACGAGGGGAGAGGAGAGGAGAGGAGAGAAGAGGAGAGGAGAGGAGAGGAGAGGAGGAGATAGAGGAGAGGGGAGGGGAGGAGAAGGGAGAAAAGGAGAGAACAGGAGAGGGGAGGAGAGGGAGGAGAGGAGAGAGAGGAGAGGAGAGGAGAGGAGAGGAGAGGAGAGGAGAGGAGAGGAGAGGAGAGGAGAGGAAAGGAGAGGAGAGGTCAAGCGAGGCGAGGAGAGGGGAGGAGAGGAGAGCAGAGGAGATGAGAGGAGAGGGGAGGAGAGGAGAGGAGAGAGAAGGAGAGGAGAGGAAAGGGGAGGAGAAGAGAGAAAAGGAGAGAACAGGAGAGGGGAGGAGAGGAGAGGAGAGGAGAGGAAGGGGAGAGGTCAGGCAAGGCGAGGAGAGACGAGGAGAAGGGAGGAGGGGAGAGGCGAGGAGAGGAGAGGTCGGGTCAGGCCAGACCAGACTAGGCCAGGCGAGGACCGAGTTAGGATCGAATCGGGCTGGGACGGATCAAGCTGGATCGTGTTGAGCCAAGTCGGGTCGCACGACTAAACTGAAGGACCGCCCAGCTCTCGCATGCCACTGCGTCCTTGCCCCCCCCCCCCGCCGTTGACCTGCGAACACCAACACGATCACACCTTCGCGAGCCCTACCGCACACCACCGGCCCGCGCGTCGCACTGACCACCGTCGCCCCGCCGGGGAGCGCCGCGGTCGACTTTCTCGGGGGGTGAGGGGTGGGGTGGAGGATGGGGAGGGGTGGGTGGGGTCGGCTCGCCGGACCTTCTCCCGGTCGCCAGCCGCCCAGATCAGCCGACATCGCCCCACTCGTCGCCCGCGTGACCGCGCCCCGTGAGCACGCGCGCGTGAGACCGGCGTCGGGGAGGGCGGCACGGTACGTCGCCGTCGCCTCGACCGAGCGACGCCCGCTACCTCTGCCGTCAGGCCCGAGGCCGGGCGTGGAGGCGAGGAACGACAGCGGGCGTGAGACTGGCCGGGCCTGGTGCCCGTGACTGGTCAGTGAGAGAGGGGTAGCGACCTTAGTCTTTGGGGTGTGAGCGCCCGCCTACCGGTTCAAGGTCCTTGGCCGGCCAGGTACGAGTCCGTTTAAGTGCTCGCTATCTGTTCCTGACTGGGATGGCCTGCGGCCGCTAGCTGCGGCCGTGCTTTAGGTCAAGTGACGTCCGAGGGCACACTCTGTGCCGGACATTACGGAACGGTAAATGCGGCCGTAACACTCTGCCGTCGACCCGCTTTTCCAAGATCGGATGGTGGCACTGACGCTCCGCAACAAGCAGCGCTTGGCGTGCTTGGCGTGCTGTCTGGCGTGCTGGCGCGCTCTCTCCATCAGTCGCTGCTTTGCGTACCCAGAAACATACACAATCAAAGGCTCAGGTTCAATGACGAAAAAGAAGAGGAAGAAAAAACAGAAATGTTAAGAAGCATATAATTGATAAGCATTGATACCTTGCAACAGCATCATGAGCTGCAGGATCAAACTCATCGGGCATGAAGGTAAGCGTGTAGGCAAGTGATGGATTGACGTTGAGATGATGACAAAAGCAATGATGTTAATGACGATGATAAGAACAACAAACCAAATATGTAATTAAGTCTTCTGTTTAAAAAAACTCGTAGAAACTGTGCTGCTGCCAATCATCTTTGGTCGGGTTCTCTGATCCATTTTCATCGTACCCCGATCTCCTTTCTGAGACGTTCTCGCCGAGGCTTATCTAAGATGTAACCCAAGCAAGCGACAGTAAAAGAGATCGTGCCCTCACTCATTGTTTCAGAAGATCGTCCATTGAATTTCACGCTTTCGTAATGACGTCATCGCTCGACTCTCACAGTCGTCCCCGTATATGAGATCGCTAGATATTTACATCTGACTGCTTTAACCAGAGGGGCGCTGATTAATCGCATGGACATAGGCACATGTGCGGCTTTGAACCATGTCACGTTTGGTAACACAGAGGCATCGTACGTCACAAAGTGATCCGCATCTTGTAAGCAGGTTCTGCGGTCTGGTTTCACGGGATGTTGGGAGTCGTAATGAGCATGACATTAAAACATTCTGCATGCGTACTTTTAGTTATCACACGACATGGCAGTCAGAACGCCGATTTCCGAGCTCAGAGGGAACATTGGAGTGCCCTCACGCAGAGTTTCTACGCGCTCTCAATGGACGGGTCCAATTCCTTAAAAGATGACTTCGAGCGTTCATTAGCATATCGCCCTTCGCGAACGCGATGCAATTTGCCCCTGTACCCCTCTTCCACCGGGTCAGTCAACGTGGAAATATGAAAATGATGATGTACTTTTAGTCAAACACGCTATGGGTGTCAGTCGGTTAATCTACACTGCAGCAGGGAATGGGAATGTCGATATTTAGCCTTAAGTCTGGGGGGGGGGGGGGGGGGCAAGACAGGGTGCACAAGCACACGTTGCTGCTTTATATCTTCATCCAACGCCCTTTTTATGTAAGAATGAACTCACACTGGCGGCGAATGATGGGTGTCTGTCGAGAGCTCTCCCTGCCGTTTTGAATCTAAATGCCTAAATCCAAATATTTATAGGTATCAATAAGTATAAGCATCAATTAACAAGTGTGACTTAATACCATGTCGCACTGGAGACGACGAAATCAGTCATGGAACAGAGGCACCCGTCCAAAGCAGCACCCCACCAGAGCCCCGGTGTTATTCCGCGCTTACCTCTCGAGAAGGCAGGGGTCCGTACAGGTGACAGCGCTCTCCAGAAATCTGCCACCTGGCCGGCTCCCGGCATGGCGGGGGTCCTCAAACTGGCGGCGCACGTGGTCTTCGAACCGCGTCTCGGGGCTGAAGCGGCCGACCACTGCGTGCCAGTAGTTCAGCGCCAGCCAGATCAGGAAGTGTGCCCTGTTCTCGCAGTTGAGCGCCGTCACTACGTTACCCATGACAGCGCAGGGGGCCCAGGGCCGGCTGGCTGACGCCCGTCACGGCGTCTTCGCTTCAGTGACGTCACTGATGGCAAACGTCAGGCGGAAGAGGCCGGGCGGAGGTTTGCTTGGTGCTCCTTGATGCACACGCGGTGTCTTGCTCCTCTGTTTGGTCCTGTTCCTGACCACAACCATGAACTCAGCGGTGTCACAGCGCCATCCGCATTGTCGGCCTATCGTCTGTTAACCAGCTGCTAACGGTCTGCGAACAGCTTGGCAGCGGTCTGTCAGAAATATATGCACAATTTGTGGAGAGCCCGTCAGCTGGCTGCCACCAATATGCTAACAAACTGTCGAGAAACTGCTAGGAATTAGTAGACGTTATGTCAACAGTCTGTCAGCAGTCTGACAACGCTATCAGCAGTCTACTAGTAGTTTATCAACGACATACTGTACCAGTAGACTGCAGTCTGGTAAGGCGCGTCAATATATCATCAACAGTTTCCGGGAGTTCATCAACAGTCTAGCTCTGCCAAAAACGTGTCTACCGTCTGTCAATGCCCCGTCTACTGTCCGCGAATAACCTGTCAACAGTTCACCACAATTAGTCAACAGCCCACCAAGCCTTCACCAGCCTTGCAAAACTGCCAGCAGTCCACCGACAGCCTCCACTGGCCTTGCAACACCGGCCAACTGCCCGCGAACCGTCGGAAGCTCTGTCAACACCCACCAACAGCCTTCACCAGCCTTGCAAAAGCGCCAGCAGCCAGCGCACCGTCTGAAGACCGCCGGAAGCCGGCTTACCGCCCCCGTCGGCTCGCAGCCCGCCGCCGCACTGGCGGGCACAGCCCCCGCCGCAACACAGCACCGCACTGGCGGGCACAGCACCCGCCACAGCGCCGCACCGGCGGGCGGCCGACTCCGGCTGCCGGCCGCCGGTGACGCGGCGCCGCTGGCCGCGTGGCAGTGGCTCCCCGCCGCGCAACGGCCGCCGGAGCGTGTTGCAGGGCCGCGGTCCGTTTACCACCAGCCGGCGACCACCGCACCACCGCCGGGGATGCCGGGTCCGACGGGCCGGGCCACGTCGCTCGGCGGCGCCCAGACAGTTGATGTACGACGTGGAGGAGCGGGAGGCGCGTAGCCAGGAGCAACTGCGGGTTTTGGTCGAGCTGCTGCGAAATCGCCCCGTGTCACGTGGGAATTTATTAGATTAGAGGTCAGGGGAAGGAACATAACGGTTTCCCCCTCTTTTGGCTACTTCCCCGAGAGTGAGAGGATATGTAGTGGCGGAGACAGTACTGACCGATGACTGAGATGCGTGAGCTCTCTAACGGTTCCTCGGCAGTCTCTGCACCCTACGCGCATGTAACTATCCTGTGCTGTATCAGATGCGGTGCATGATAAGCAGCGTTTGCGCAGGTCCACCAGCTGTCAACGTCTGTCTACGATTGTTGCGCCACGTGCTCATATAAATAACTTGCGACTGGAGGGACCTACAACACGCGCCGTGTCGAAGCTAGCGCAAGAGTTAGATGCGTCTGTATGACATTGTGCGAGATGTGTGCCAGTTAGATGTGTCTGTCTGACATTGTGCGAGATGTGTGCAAGTTAGGCGAGTGTTTCTGACATTGTGTGAGATGTGTGCGAGTGAGACGCGAGTGTTTCTGACATTGTGTGAGATTTGTGCGAGCTAGATGTGTCCGTCTGCCATTATGCGAGATATGCGTGAGTTAGATGTGTCTGTCTGACATTGTGCGAGATGTGTGCGAGTTAGATGTGTCTGTCTGACATTGTGTGAGATGTGTGCGAGTGGGACGCGAGTGTTTCCGACATTGTGAGAGATTTGTGCGAGTTAGATGTGTCTGTCTGACATTGTGCGAGATGTGCGCGAGTTAGATGGGAATGTTTTTAACATGCGGGATGTGCGCGCGCGTCGTCCAGCACGTCAATGGCTGCAGGCTTTTCTATTTGAAGTCTACACGGTACTCGTCCGATGGCTTCGCACTGTCCGAGTTAGGCGCAAACTGTGCTGTATCTAATGGGCAACCTTCACAAGGACTATGCCAGTTAGGATGACATCGGTGTTTTTTGACTCGCGACCTAATCGCATAAGTTTATATATATATATATATATATATATATATATATATATACAATAAAATTGGCTTCAATGTTTTACATCTGTCTAAGCGTTCATCAGGAAAGTTTTGTTTTCGTCGCACAAGTTCCCAGTTGCAAAACAACTCTTACCGCGCGCGATCATACGCGTTTTGGCGCCATTGCGACCAAAGTTGGGGAACACAGGGAGGTAGCGTTTCAAGATATCTGTGGTATGCACCCATACACGCAAACAGGTCTTAGAATGGGAAAATAAGGAGGTTCATACGCATGATATATACAATCATACATATATACTGCAGTAGTGCACGCGTTAATTTATGTACACACCAAAACAATATATATATATATATATATATATATATATATATATATACATATATATTTGTGTATAGATTATATATGTATACGTACACTATATATACGTATATATCATATACATATATGTGTATGCAACATAGTTATACACTATCCTATGTGTGTGTGGTGTATGTGCGTATGTGCGTGTGTGTGTGTGTGTGTGTGTGTGTGTGTGTGTGTGTGTGTGTGTGTGTGTGTGTGTGTGTGTGTGTGTGTGTGTGTGTGTGTGTGTGTGTGTGTGTGTGTGTGTGTGTGTGTGTGTGTGTGTGTGTG